CCACACCTAAGCACATGCACACTGATGACCTCGCCTTCACTACTGCCTTCTCTGATCCCCCACCACTGGACCCAGAGACACAGGTAAGCATCCTGGGAGTCCTGGAAGTTTCTGTGTACCTCCAGCAACCCTTGCCACCAAGACCACACAGTTGATGATGTCATGGACCTCAGCTATGAGCTACTGAGATGTCATGTCCTCCAGGCCTGGAGCCACTGCATCCTCCACACTGTATGACCTGCCCCATCAGACCTAGTGTCACAATGTCCTATCATGCCCATCCCCATTCCTCCTCTCAGGAGAACATCTCTCCTTAACAAAAGGAATCTATGACGTCTGGAAGACAGGATGACAGGTCAACACTCAAAAATCCATGAGAAATAAATCTGAACTCATTCTATGAGGTCAGTATCACTGAATTACCAAAACCAGAAAAAGACATACGAGAAAAGAAAACTATAGATCAATATCCCACAGATGTAGTTGTGAAAAATTCCTCAGCAAAATATTCACAGATCAGTTCAACAAGGCACATAAAGAATTGCACATCTTGACCAAGTTACTTTTATCCTAGACGAGAAAAGCATTCTCAGTATTTGGGAGTCAATTAGTGTATCCCATCACATCAACAGGCTAAGGGAGAAAAACTACATGAAAACATTAATAGATGTAGAAAAAAACATTTGACAAAATCCTGCACCAATTCATGCTCAAAAACTCTCAGTAAACCAAGCATAGATGGGAACCTTCTCCACTGAGAGGGAATAGCTAGAAAAACCATAGCTGACATCACACTTATGAGGAGTAAAGCAGAAGCTTTCCCATCAAGCTAGGCTCAAGGCAAGGATATTCCCCCTTTACTACTCCTTTCTCCTTTTTAATATAGAAGGCATAGCTCATGCAAAAATAAAGAAAGAAATAAAATAGTCTTTAGGATATGTTGTCATGAGGACATTATCATCTATGTAGAAAATATGGAAAAACCCAGAAAAAATGATGGGACTAAGCTGCAATATAGCAAGGTTGTGAGGTATGAAATTACTACAGAAAAGTCTAGCAATGAGCTTGTATAACTAGTTTGAGTTTAAAAAACAATCATTTATTTTAGCATTCCCCAAAATAAAGACTTAAGTATAAATCTAACAGAATAAGTACAAGATCTCTATGAAGAGAACTACAAAATGCTGATGGAGTACACCAAAGACTAAATGATTGGAGAACAATTTCATGTTTATGACAGGAAGACTCAATATTGCCAAAATGTCAATTCTTCCCAACTTGATCAATAGAAACAATGCAATTCCAAACAAAACCTAGGAAGTTATTTTGTGGAATTTGACGAAGTTCTTGAAAAGCTTGTATGAAGAAGTAGAAGATCCAGAGTAGCAACACAATAATAAAGGAGAAGAACATTGTTAAAGCGTTGACTCTATCCCACTTTAATATTTACTATTAATCAACAGTAACTGAGACCCTACGATATCAGTGAAATAACAGAGAAATAGATCAATGGAAGAGAAGAAATCATCCAAAACAGGCCACATAAATATATAGTCAACTGATCTTTGACAAAATAGCAAAGGCAATATAAAGGAAGAAGGATAGTATTTTCAGCAAATCATGCTAGAAAAGCTATACATATAAACATATAAAAATGAATCTAGGCCAATGCCGGGGCTCAGTAGGCTAATTCTCTGCCTGCTGCACTGGCACCCCAGTTCTAGTCCCGATCAGGGCGCTGGATTCTGTTCCGGTTGCCACTCTTCCAGGCCAGCTCTCTGCTGTGTCCCGGGAGTGCAGTGGAAGATGGCCCAAGTGCTTGGGCCCTGCACCCACATGGGAGAACAGGAGAAGCACCTGGCTCCTGGCTTCTGATCAGCATGGCGCTCCAGGTGCAGTGGCCACTGGGGGGTGAACCAACAGAAAAGGAAGACCTTTCTCTCTGTCTCTCTCTCTCACTGTCCACTCTGCCTGTAAAAAATAAAAAAATAAAAAAAAATGAATCTAGACCTAGACCTTATTCCCTTTACAAAATTTGACTCTAGGGCTGGCAACATGGTGTTACACATATAGCCACTGCCTGAGGTGCCAGCTTCCATATGGGCACTGGTTTGAGTACCAGCTGCTCTGCTTCTGATTCAGCTCCCCGATGATGCACCTGGGAAAGGAGTGGAGGATAGCCCATTCCCTGGGGCCCTGCACCATCAAGGAAACCCAGAGGAAGCCCTGGCTCCTGGCTTCAGATCATCCCAGCACAAGCCATTTTGGCCATTTGGAGAGTGAACCAGCAGCTGGAAGATTTCCATCACCTCTCTCTCTCTCTCTCTCTCTCTCTGCCCTCTGACTTTCAAATAAATAAATAAATCTTTAAAATTCACTCAGAATGAATCACAGACCTAAATATGATACAGAATTATGAAACTCCCAAAATATAAAGTATAAAAAATCTAGATGGCCATTAATGTCTTGATGACTTTTTCAATATAACACCAGTTTCATTCCATAAGGACAGACTTGATAAGTTAACTTCATTAAAATGTTCTGTTCTGTCAAACACTGTCAAGAGAATAACAAGGCAAGCTACAGACTAGGGGAAAATGTTTACGAAAACATACCTTGTAAAGGACTGCTATCCCAGATACACAAATAACCCTTAAAACCCAATAATACTAGTAAGGTTAACCCTAAACTAAGTAAAGAATTCAACAAACAGAATGAGAAAAAAACACTGTTCCTCAGCAGAAGAGACAAAGATAATAAACAATCATTGAATCCCAAAATGCCCATTTCACTTCAATATGTTACATGTTAGGTACTCTATTAGTTACCCCAGTTCAGAGAAAATAAATCATCATAAAATTTAAGATTGAAAATAGAAGAGGGAGGAGGATTAAGGATTGGAGCTTGGGCAGGAGGGAGAGAGATAGAGTGGGAAGTAACACTATGTTCCTAAATCTGTATCTTTGAAATACATGAAATTTGTATAACTTAAATAAAATTTTAAATAACAAAAAATAATAATAAAAATAAAAATAAATAATAATAATTAAGTGTTAAAGGTATCATATAAATAAGATCAAGTGTCTGGCAATAATAATAGATAGAATTAAAAAGAGAGAATATTCCAACATGGGAAGCAATCCACACAGTAGACTCATAGAATGACAACCCCTTTAAATAGCACTTTGACCTCAGAATCAGCCCTTAAGACATTCTGGTCTGGCTGAAAAACCCATGAGAGTATTTCAGGCATGGAAAGCCAAGACACTGTGGCAAAAAATGTCCTGCATGAAGGATCTCTATGAGTGAGACCTCAGTGGAAAGAAGTGGCTATCAAAGAAGGATGTACTTTTCTCCAAAGGGAGGCGAGAACTTATACTTTGCTATAGCCTTGTCTAAATACTAATGGAGATTGGAGATTTGAAAGACTTTCATAGCCTTTGGCAGCTCATATCAAAAGCTTCTTTAGGTGATCATTGACATCATATACAAGAGTGAAATTGTTAAATTAACAACAGGAGTCAATGTGAACTTACTTCCCATGCAGGACCTCTGTCCTCAGTGAGTTGTATTATGAGAATTAACTGTACAAATTGTTCTCTAATATTTTGCATGTGTGTGTACAAATTGTTAAAATCTTTACTTAGATTAGAATTGGTCTTCTGTGCACAAAGTTAATTTAAAATGAATCTTAATGTAGAATGGGACTGGAAATGGGAGGGGGAGGAGGGTTTAGGAGTTGGAGGGTGGGTATAGTGGGAAGAATCACTATATTCCTAAATATGTACTTAACAAAATTTCTACTCCTTTAATAAAAGTTTTTTTTTGGAGAAAAAAGCTTAATGAGAATATGATTCAAAGATTTTAACAGACATCTCAATGATGAAGATATACAGTTGGCAAACATGTATATGAAAAGATGCAGCACATAGTATGTCATTAGGGAAGTACACATTAAAACAATAACAAGATACCACCATACGTCCAGTAGAATAGCCAAACTACACAAAAATGACAATACCAAATCCTGTCAAGGATGGGACCCAGTGGGGTCTGCCATTAATTAATGATAGGGATGGAAAATGGCTGAGACCCTTTGGAAAGCAGTCTTGCAATTTTTTATAAATCTTACCATAGGACTAGAAATCACGTTCCTTGGCATGTACTCAATGGAGTTGAAGACTATGTCCACATTAGGACCTGTACACATATGTCTTGGAGGCTTTGTTCATGATTGCCAAACCATTTTCAATGTAGGGAAGGAGGGAGAAAGAGACCTTCTATTTGCTTGTTCATGCTGCAGCTACTGAGGCTGGGCCAGGTTGAAGCCAGGTGCCTGGAACTCAATCCATGCATCATCATGTGGTTAGCAGGGACCCTAGTACTTGAGCGATTATCTGCTGCCTCTGGGATACACAAACATTAGCAGGAAGCTCGGTCACAGGCAGGGTGAAGTCTTGAACCCAGGCATTTCAATATGGGGTGGTGGCATCTCAGGCAGCATCTTAAGTGCTATGCCAAACACCTACCCCATCCTATGTTTAACAGCCAGAAGAGCCTTCCTTTTCTCTAAGGATGAAGAGACTCTGCTTGTGACGTCCTCGCAGGTAGGACCACTGTGACGGCATTGTCCAGACAAGTGCCCCATCATGGGTTCCTGTCAGGATTCCTCCCTGGAAAAGAAGACTTTCTGGAGATTATTTTATAGGAAAATATCTAAAATGAAAAGGGCAACTGGAGGTATGATAAGTGACCAAAGGCTAGCAGATAGGCTTCAGAAACCCAAAAAGTTTTGTCTGAGGTTATAGCTCCTTTTAGAACCAAGACATCAGTGACATAGGGATCTTCTGAAAACATCACCCTAGTCCAAAGCAGGGGATGCAGTTTGTGTTGGAAATCTTGCATGGCCACTCCTTCACTGGTGAGGGTTTCTGTCTCTTTAAGTCCTCACCATCGTGCCCTTCCTGGGCTCTAAGCCCTGAGTCTGAGCGACTTCCTCTGTGTGTGGGGGAGGACAGCAGATAAGGGTTTTCTCAGAGTCCAGTCCAGGACTTGTCACTGGGAAAGGTGAGCCTGATCCAGGGACGGAAGCTGGCTGGGGGCTGGAACTAGTACAGCAGGAAGCCGTCAGTGTCTGAAGGTGTTGCTCAAATGAAGCTGGTTGAGTGAGCACCTCCAATCTAGAGAGGGGAGAAGGGAGTGTGATCTAGAAGGAATAACTGCATGCTTCCAGGATGACAAAGATGCTCGGGCTTTCAAACGGACTAGATTTCGAAGAAGTGGTAAGCATTCTCACCGGCTCTGGAATGCACACATCCTTACTTTTGGACTAAATCCTTTCTCCTTCCCTCCTCCCCCTATTCATCATTGACAAGGACTTCTTGCTTCAGCTAAATTCTTGCTCTAACTAGCACTCTAAATACACCAGCTGTTTCATTTTGTTCTGTGTAAATTATGAGAGTCTAAATTTCTTGTTTCAGAATAGTTTTAGATCTATAAAACAAAAACTATGAAGTAGTATGAATAGTTCCCATATACCCTATACATACAACTTGAAATATTTGTCACAATAAATAAACCAGAACTAGATTCACCTATTATTAACATCTGTTATTGGTACAACATATTTGTCAAAATTAAAGAGCAGTGCTCAACTTCCCCTGTTTTTAAATGCAAACTTCGTCAATTCCCCCAAGCACTCCCAGAGTCTAATTATCACCACTCTGTGTTCAGATGGAGGGAGAACATGCATTATTTGTCTTTTCATGTCACTTACACCACTTAACATTATGCCCTCCAATCTCATCCATTTTGCTACAAATAACGTAATTTCATTTTTTTTTTGTTTAATAGTATTGCATTATGTTTATATCCAACACTTTCTTTATCCATTCATCTGAAGATGGGCACCTTGCCTGATTCCATATCTTGGCTAATGTGAATAGTGCTGCAATAATCATAATGGAGTAGGTATCTGTTTAATATAATGGATTCATGACTCTTGGATATATGCCCATAGTGGGATATCTAGATAATACAAAAATTCTTTTTCTAGTTTTTTACTATTTTCCATAGTGACTGTGCTAATTTATAGTTCCATCAGCAGCATGTAAAAATTACTCTTTCTCCACATCCTTACCAGTAATTGTTACTTTCTGTCTTCTTAATATCAACCATAATAACAGGGGTAAGATGATATTTTACTGTGGTTTTTATTTTCATTTCCCTGGAAGCTATTGCACTGAATATTTTTTTACGTACTTGCTGGTCATTTGTATCTCTTCATTTGAGAACTTTGTCTTCAGGTCCTTTTTTCATTTCTTAACTGGATTTCTTCTTTGGGGGTTTTTGAGTTTCTGATATATTCTGGATATTAATCATTTGTCAGATAAGTAGCTTGCAAACATTTTCTCCCATTCTGTTGGATATCTCTTCACTCTATTCACTGTTTCCTTGTCTGTGTAGAAGCTTCTGAGTTTGATAAAATCCCCTTTGTCTAGTTTTGCTTTTGTTGCCTGTGCTTTTGGAGTCTTATCCAAGAAATCACCATCTCCACCAAAGTCTAATTGTTTCCTCTGTGTTTTCTTCTAGAAATTTCACAGCTTCATGGTTCGCACTTAGGTCTAAATCCATCTTGAGTTGCTTTTTATAAATGTTGAGGTGCAAAGATCTAGTTTCATTCTTCTTCAGTCTGTGTCTGTCCAGTTTTTCCTTGACACTATGTTGAAAGGACTGTTCTTTCTCCAATGGATGTTCTTAGTATATGTGTCAAAAATCAATTGGCTACAAGTGGCCATATGCACTTGTATTACTTTCTGGTGTCTCTGTTTTGTTGCATCCATCTATATCTGTTAGAATGAATGAATTAATGAATCACACCCAGCTGTAGTCCTTCTCCAGCGAAATATTGAGAATTACTAATAGTTTCCTATGATCCTTTGTAGTGCCAAGATTTTGGATGTAATGTCATATTTTTCATCTGATTTTATTTACATAAGGTTTTTCTCAGTCTCACTGAACTATTAGGTTTTTTTTGTTAGTCTCGCTAAAGTTTTCTCTGTTTATAAGCAAGAACAAACCAAACCCAAAATTAGCAGAAGGCAAGAAACAATAAAAATCCGAGCAGAAATAAGTGAAATTGAAACCAAATAAAAAGTCAAGAAAATGAAAGGCCATTTTTTGACAAGTCTATCGATTTCTACATGCAAAATATTTGAACACATAACCCATAGGATGACTTTTAACATAACTTATTAACTGAAAAAATTCACTTGATTCTGTCTTGCCACCTGCTCCTCCCTAAAACTATACACATAGATGTTAAGAAGCTCGCAGGCAGTGGCTGGGTCCTGCCATCGGTGTCACGGTGGTGTCACCTTGGTTGGTCTTTGCCTGATGCACTCCATCAACTGGACAGATGAGTAAATGAATGAATGAGCTGTGTTTGGGACTGTTTCAGGGAAGCATGGGAGGTCGGAGGATGGTGAGAGATGAAGAGAGCGCCTATGGTAAGGAACCAACTCTGCAACTCATCCTTGCCCCTACCCCAGGTGTGAGCTTAGGGAAATAGGGGAAAAGGGGCTTCCCTGAGGTTGAGCAGGGGCAAATCCCAGAGACATCCAAGGCCTGGGGCAAAACAGCAAGAGTCTGGGGTCTGCACTGTAGCTGGATCTCTGTCCCACCCCTCCTCTGAGATGCCCAGTCCTCTGACCAGCCTGCACCCTCATTCCTGAGGAATAAAGGGAGGTGAATAAACCAGCTGTGATCACCACAGAAAAGGTCAAAGAGGATATAATCATACACTGTGATAAACACCAGTTACCAGGTGCACTGTGTTAGTGGGGGCATGAGGGAAACCCCAATTCAGAAGGAAAACCAGGGTACACCCCCCACCAAGAGCTCAACGTCTATAAGCAGATGACTGCTCTAAAGGTTTGGTTAAAAGGGGGAACGTTCAAATCTCATTCTCTTTTGTTCTAAAGACAGTTTTTTGTCCTGAAGGGAGCTCTGGGTTGACTGCCATGAGACTGTGAATCCTTTGCTCTCCCAGGTTTGGAAGAGGACAGCCAGTCCTGCCAGGTGCCCAGGCTGAGGCTCGTCTTGGTTGGGAGGACAGGAGTCGGGAAGAGCGCCACGGGGAACAGCATCCTGGGCCAGAGAAGGTTCCTCTCCAGGCTTGAGAGCTCGGCGGTCACCAGAACCTGCTCCATGGCCAGCTGCAGGCGGGCCAGGTGGCACGTGGACGTCATCGACACCCCAGACATTTTCCACTCCCAAGTCCCCAAAACAGACCCAGGAGGTTTGGAGAGAGGTCGCTGCTACCTGCTCTCGGCCCCAGGGCCCCATGCGCTGCTCCTGGTGACCCAGCTGGGCCGCTACACGGCCAAGACCAGGAGGCGGTGAGAGGTGAAGGAGATGTTCGGGGAGGGCGTGATGGCTTGGACAGTCGTGGTCTTCACCAGGAAGGAGGACCTGGCCGGGGGCTGCCTCCAGGACTACGTGCGCTGCACAGAGAATCGGGCTCTGCGGGAACTGGCGGCCGAGTGCGGGGGCAGAATCTGTGCCTTTGACAACCGAGCCACCGGCCGTGAGCAGGAGGCCCAGGTGCAGCAGCTGCTGGGCCTGGTGGAGCGCCTGGTCAGGGAGAACGGAGGTGCCCACTACACCAACGAGGAGTACGGTGTGCTGCGGGCCCTGCACTGGGCCAGCCCCGAGGAGCGCCTCCGAAGGGTGGCAGAGAAGGTCGCGGCCCGCATGCAGAGGTCCAGGGGCTCCTGGCTGCTGGCCCGGCTGTGGGAGTGGCAGAAGTCGCTCAGGAACCACTGGAGACTGGGCCTGGCCCTCCTCCTGGGGGGTGCCTGTCTGCTCTACTTGCTGTTCTACAGGCACCAGCCTGAGCCCTCGGCTGAGGTCCATTCTGATTGACAGATTGACCAGGTCACTTGCTGGTCTCATTGCTCCGTCTCTGTTGCTTGGTGTTCTGTACCAGGGCCCACACTGACCCCTCCTTTCCCTCCACACCCATAAACTTCCAGCTGGAGAGTCGTGTCCTGGCCCCCCTCCCAGCCAAAGCCTTTCCTGGGACCTGGCCCTCCCTGTGCTGGCCCCTTGCTGCAGCTAAAACGACCACTCTCACTCTTGCCTATTTTCCTGACACCAGATTGCCTTTCCCTGCCATCAGTCGTCTTCTCTCCTGAATACAGATGAGGAATGTTTGTCCTCTCAGGCCCCATGTATCCCACAGGGACAAAGCCAAGGACCAAGACAAAGAGAAACCTAGCACCCTTGTGTTTATTTGAATTGAATTTGTTAATTCCAAAAATAAATTCACTGTGGGATCACATTGTCTTAAAGGAAGCTAGTAATTGTGGATTTTTGTTCTGAGCCTCATGTGCCCGCTGAACAAGGCACTCTGCTGTGTCTTTCCCAACCCCTTCTGCCTGCACATGCACACACATCCACATATGCATCTTTTGGTGTGCAGTCGTAGGAAGGGAATACACAGCAATGGAACTTTCCTTTTCTCCCAGTAGGGGAGTGTGTCCCCACTATCCTTATTCTGATCTCCCAGCAACTTGAGAGCAGAGAATTCTGCAGATCCAAGGAGGTTAAAAACTCAACTCCCAGTAGCCACTGAGGGCCTACAGAGTGTCTGCTTCCCAGGAGAGGTTTTCTCATTGGCTTATGGGCTCACAGTTCAGTTATGCAAGAATAGTAAATCCTGGAGCGCTTTAAACTGAGATAAATCAAAACATTCAAGAGATTTGGAAAAGCTTTCACTTCTATTTTGAATCTCCAAAGGTGGGAGGGCACCAATCCGGTGTTTGTGGGCTGAGAGCTGGAGACAGGACTCTGGGCTCTGGAGTCACCTGCCTCTGTCCCATGTGTGTGTGGGGGAGTGGGCTCTCTGCTCCAGATCAGGTGTCTATTGCTCCTCCCTATTCATCTGGCCATGTTTGCTTTGTACCCAGCACCACCACCCTCACAGACAGACCTCCAGTCATCCCTAATCCTGCTGGGTAACTGCAGGTCCCTCCCTGTAGTATCCCCTGCCTGCTGTCTCCACATCCAGAGCTCCTCAGATGATCTCTGCAGAGACATGCAAAGAGGGGAAATATCCACATAACTGAGCCTCCACTGGAGAGGGAGGCTCATACGTCCCTCATGTGTGAAGCTCTCACATGTGATACTAACGGAACGCCAAGGCCATGTGATAGACTGCACATTTCTTCAGTAGCAGAGACCAGGTTAGTTTAAGGAATTGTAAACAGATCCCAGCAGAAGTTCTGATAGGGAATCTTGATTTGATTTGTTCATTTTCCAATATGCGCTTAGGGCGGACATTTGGAGTAGTTGTTAGCACACTGTTTGGGACATCCTCATTCCACTCCAGAGAGTCTGGGTTTGAATCCTGGCTTCACTGCCAGTCCAGCTTCCTACTGTTGCACACCCTAGGGGCAGCAGGTGGTGACTTGGGTTCTTGAGTCCCTGCCACACATGAGATACCCCAGTTGGATTCTGGGCTACTAGATTTGTCCAGGTTCAGCAATAGCTGTTGCAGGCATCTGGAGAGTGAACCAGCAGATGGGAAACATCTCTCTTCTCTCTCTCTGTAGTAAATAAAAATAAGTAAATTAATAAAGCCTTATTTTTTTAAAAGAAGTTCTATGACTGTCCTAAAATAATTATTTGTCTACATACATGTATGCACACACATGTACACACACAGAGAGACACTTGTAGTGAACAAGCAGAGAAAACTCTGCCATGGGCACTCTGCTGATCACTGATGAAAATAAATGGGTCCAATGTGTCACAGTGAGTAAAGCTGTGGCTTGCAAGGCCGGCATCCCATATGAGCACTGTTTGAGTCCTGGGTGCTCTACTTCTGATCCAGCTCTCTGTTAATGCACTTGAGAAAGCAGTGGAAGATGGCTCAAGTCCTTGGCCCCTGCACCCACATAGGAGACACAGAATAAGCTCCTGGCTCTGGCTCCTGGCTTTGGCCAGGCCCCGCCACAGCCATTGGAGTTGTTTGGGGAGTGAATCAGCAGATGGAAAACTCTCTCTCTCTCTCTCTCTCTCTCTCTCTCTCTCTCCCTTTCTCTCCCTCTCTCTTCCCCTCTCTTCCTCTCTCTTTCCTGTCCTTCTCTCTCTGTAGCTCTGCCTTTCAAAAAAATAAAAATATGTATTAAAAAATACTGAAAAAAGGTAGCACCATTTCTGGTGTAAGCAGTGGGAGGTTTTAATCCTTGACTCAAACCAAGTGAGAAATGTTTGATTCCTGCTGGTCAGTTGCGTGAAGCCGAGATTTTCCAAGGGTCAGTGACTGAGCTGGTTGGAATAAGGGAAGAGCACTTAGGGGTCCTAGAGGGTAAGGCAATTGTCTGGCTCAACCCTCATCCAGCTGAGTTCAGGACACAGTGGAGGAGAAAAGTGTTTTCCAGTCAATAACTTATATGACAGTCTTGTGTATATGAGGATTATAAGAAAAAAAGTATAAAAGATGGCATGAAGACAGATAGAGAGAAATCTCCCATCCACTGATTCACTCCCCAAATGGTTGCAATGGCTGTGGCTGGGCCAGGCTGAAGCCAGGAGCCAGGGACTTCCTTCAGGGCTCTCACATGTGGTCAGGGCCCCCCAAATTTGGGCCATCATCTGCTGCTTTCACAGTCATGTTTGCTGGGTGCTGGATCAGAAGTAGAGCAGATTGAACTTGAACTGTCGCCCACACAGGTTGCTGGGGTACCAGTATGCCACAATGCCAGCCCCAAAACTATAACTTTTTTTCATACTTGTAGCAAGAATCACTAGCCAACTCCCTTCATCAGGCCATGGACCCTTGTGGTGTTAGCAGAAAAACTTTCTTCTCATGTAGCACACTATCTACACTTCTTTTTTTTTAAAAAAAAAAAAGTTTATTTATTTGAAAGGCAGAGTTACACAGTGAGAGAAGGAGAGGTGGGGGTGGGGGGAGAGAGAGAGAAAGAGGTCTTCCATCTGCTGGTTCATTCCCCAACTGGCCGCAATGGTTTGAGCTTAGTGCAATTGAAGCCAGGAGCGTGGAGCTTCCTCTGGGTCTCCCACATGGATGCATGGACCCACATTTTGGGCCATTTTCTACTGCTTTCCCAGTGCATAGCAGAGAGGTGAATTGGAAGTGGAGCAGCCAGGAATCAAACTGGTGCCTATATGGGATGCCAGCACTGCAGGTTGTGGCTTTACCTGATACACCACATCGCCAGCCCCCATACTACTTACACTTCTGAGTTCATTGGCCATCCAGTGGCCTCAAC